AGGGTTTCAAGAAACCAAAGTACATATACCAAAGTTAAGAATCAATATCATATATAAAAGAGCTTCAAGAAATTGTCTGTTAAATTGTTCGACAACACAATAGAGAACCTTCGAAAATCAATGAATGATTATCAAGCAACTGGGAGCAAGTATTTGTTAAGGCTTCAAGCTTACTCCGATAAATATGAAATAGAATAACATAGTGAGTTTACTCTGGCAAATATTTAATATGAAATAGAATAAAATTGTGAGTTACCACTGGTATAAGATTGGCTGGGCTAAAGCAGCAATCCCTTACATAATATAATCCAGGGCTTCAGGGACCAAGAAACCTTGGCCTATTTTAAATCAATTTTACTATTGTAAATAATAGCCATCCATTGATGGCGATTTGAACTGACTATATTCAACGCAGGAAACTAATCTATATTTTGAGATAAGAAAATTTATAAAAACATTAAGTTAAAAAAAGCATCAAATGACACATAGAACCACTCCTCTTTTGATTGCTTCTGAAAGCTTGCATCATCAATTAGTAATTTTGAAAATAAATATTTTTTGTTATTGTACAGATAAATTAAACATATAAATTGGCAATGTTCTTGGTTTTTAAACCTTTTTTTGGCCATTTGTATGCACTAGACAGCATGATCGAAAATCTTTTTTTGTGGGTGATATTAGAATTTCACTAAAAAATACAGAACAAGCTTAAGAGAATGAGATGAAAGAAAAGTAAAATAATAGAAAGATAAGCTTAAAGATTGTTTATCAGAAAGAACGCCCAAGCCAACATCAAAATATGAAAATATCCCATACTCATCATTTGACCACCTATTAATAGATTTAAGAAAAGTTTCAATACTATAAGAATGCTATATTTAAGAGTGATACGAGTAAAATTGCATAGCAAGCAAGAATTAACAAAACCCATTGTGAATGAGAAAATCCGGGTTGGCTAATAGTTGTCCAAGCGATAACAAATTCTTAATAAGGATGTGTTCCATGTGTGAATGGGCATTTTGGGCAAGCAAGAATTAACAAAAGCCATTGTGAATGAGAAAATACGGGTTGGCTAATAGTTTCCAAGCGATAACAAATTCTCAATAAGGATGTGTTCCATGTGTGAATGGGCATTTTGCGGGTATGAGTTGTGTGAAGATAAATTCTTAACGAGACTGCATAAGGATGAGTTTCCAATGAGGATGAGTTCGACGTCAGGGCAAGTTATGTGCAAGGAAGAGTTCTATTGGAAGATGATTTCTTTGTGGGGATGAATTCTTAATGAGGATTTGTTACTAGTAAGGAGAAGTCTACATGGGAACGAGTTCTCAAAGAGGGCAAGTTTCCAACGAGAACAAATCCTTATGAGAATGAGTTCTCAATAAATATTAGTTTTGTGAGGACGAGTTCAAAGTTGGACAAGTTCTAGAGGAGGATGACTTTATTTAATGAATTCTAAGAGACAAATCCCTTGATGAGATTTTGGGGACAAATTTCCTTGATCAGTTGAGGAAATAAATTATTTTGACAAGTGATTTTATTTAAGTTTCCTAAGCAAGAATTCTGGCATGGACTAGCAAGTAATCTGCGCAAATAGATAATGACTTCAATAAATTCAATTCAGGTTCATAGGATGAACTGATCAACCTGACCCAAACAAATTTGTGTATAATACAATTCTCTAATTCTCATATCACTTTCATAAGTCCGAGAGTGGGAGAATGAAAACTAAACAATTCATTTTAATATAGATGAGCTAAAGATGTTGAGAAAGCATTTTGTTGATATCACTTGAATGCTAGAATGTCTTCCACGTTTAAATTTGAATATTTAGATTACATATATTTAAATTCCTTTTCTGAATCTTTGAATCAAATGAGTCGAATAAAAATTTTGAATCGGATGAGAAAAATAATAGCTGTGAATAGAACAAGCTAAATAATAAATTTGAATAGAATGAGGCAAAAAAAAAAATTGAGTACAATGAGTTCAACAATAATAAATTTTGAGAAAATTAGCTGAATACTGATTTTGAATAAAATGAGCTAGCTCAGCCAAGTCATAATTTTGAACAACATAAGTTGAGTATTAATATTATCCAAACAATGAATGACACCTCAAGCTATACTTGATTTTTATCCCTAATGTATGTTTATTGAATAAACAGTAAACCTGAATGGGCATGACAATCTCTATACTTGCCCCGGGAAGGGATTTTTATACAAATCTTATGGAAAAGGAGAAAATCCAAATTCTAGGGCTTGAATTTTCCTCTTTAAATATTAAGAATATTAGCACAATGCCCAATTTGTGCAGCTTTTGAAAAAATCCAAATATCGAATTAGTCCATTTTTCAAAGGAAATTTCTTGCAAGTTATCAAATGAGTTATCAAATAATCAAGTAATAGTTCGAAGAAATGATTCGCCTCGTAGAAATTTAATATGATTTTGTTTCACTTGATTCATCAAAATTTGCTTATTCAATGAATGAAATCTAGACTTTTGAGTCAAGCATAGAGCAACTTCATTAAGTGCAGACTATCCATCTACCTGAGGAGCATTACTCTCCTACAAAGAAATGCCTCACTAAACTTAAACTTGTTTCTAAGCCGAGACCACTTGAGTCCATAGGATAAGTTAGTCTACCAATTGTTTAACTTGTAGGGTATGCATTCAAAGTTAAAGTTCTTCGTATTTCAATCGAAGTTTTCAGCATTTTGAGTTTCAAATTTAATGTTCGGTCGGCTTCAAATTGAATAGGCTAACATTAATTTCAAGATGAAACCATTTGAAAAGAGGGATGAGGGGAGAAGAAAACCGACCATTGAGAACTTCGAGATCGAGGGTATCGACGTCGAACCCAGCCTCAAAATAGTGCTGGAAGACATGGCCGGGGGCGTCAACGTGGGTGCCAGTGTGGGCCGGCAACATCATCTCGGAGTTGTTGGCAAGCGAACCATTGTCCATGGATTGGAGCAGTCGCAGAAACTGCCCTACCCCATCGGCCGACTCCCACGCCGGCATGTCCTCCCTGTAGTAGTGGGAGATGTCAATGATCCTCCCGCCGTCGTACTCCTCCCTCCTCTCAAACACCAGCTCGCCCTCTCGGCCGGCGGCCGAAACCGCAACGCGAAACGGCAACGCCAAATGACGGGACGTCGTCGTAGGCGGGGTGGGCAGAAGAGGCGCAGTGAACTGCCAGTGAGAGCATGTGCAGAAGAAAGAAGAAGATGTACGATTTACCGGCGATCCTTGCCATGGCGACGGCGGCGGAAGAATCCTTCTGTTGGTGGTGGATAGATTTCTTTGTTATCGATCGGGAGACGACCGCTGAAAGCAGGCCGGCAAAACCGCTCGCAACAGAGACGACGGAAGCGATAAGCCAACTCAAGTCGGATAAGCAAAAAAAATTGAAAGATTTACATGCAGACCGCTTATTTTTTTCTTTTACATATCTAACCTAAAGTTTCATACATACATAATATATATATACATACATAATATGCCAACTCAAGTCGGATAAGCACAAAAAATTGAAAGATTTACATGCAGACCGCTTATGTATTTACATATCTAACCTAAATTTTCATACATACATAATATATAGGGGTGTAAACTAGCGAAGGCTTGTTTATATTTCGAGCTAAAAAAATGTGTTCGTGTTCGCCTCGTTTGCTTAATGAGCCGAACATCAGCTGTTCACGAACAAAAATTACTTTGAACAACCCTAATCATGTAGCCATAAGACAATAAGGGTTTAAGCAAGATTTAAAAATTATTATAAGATTTAAAAAGTATTATTTATTAAAACATCATTTGAATTTAATTTAATAAATTTTATTCTATTTTCTTAATTAATATTTTAATTGATTATAAATTTTTATAGCCTTGTAGTCACTTAATTTTTTTTAAAATACTATTTAATATATATATATATTCCATTCAAAACTTCAAATAGTCCATTCAAAATTTACAATTCAATTATTCAAAACTTTTGTCCCTTTTGAAACAACCACTTATATTAGGGGCAGCTGCAACTTATTGAATAATCTGCCGATAATCTAGATGCAGTGATTGTTACAAATTTTTATTTTTTTGGAAAAGTCTGACCGTTATCAGAAAGTTGTCACCACACCTAGATTTGTGCAATGTAAAAACTTTGTTTCCAGCATTTTAGAAACACATAAGCTGCCAAAACTCAGTTTATCCAAATTACTGAGGCACCGCACCAAATAAACTATACCAAACAGGAAAAAATATTACATCACACGTAGTTACTCCACACGTAGTTACGTGCGGAGTCCAATGAAATCACAAAACACAATAATAAAAGAGAATATTATGCACGTGTTATTCAGGCGTGATTGTATGTTTTTTATGTGTTATTGTGTTCTGTGAATATTCCTGATGTTGTAATGACATAATAACACATCAATGACATTCGAACAATATTATGATAGCACGTGAATAATAATATGAGTAGAATATTCTTATGAGTTTTCGTGCTGTTTTTTTTTTTCTCTCTCTACGTATGCGTGAGTGTGGCGTCTGTCGCTCGTCTGTAGCTCGTCTACGTATGCGTGAGTGTGACGTCTGTCGCTCGTTTGTAGCTCGTCGTCCCACTCCTTCGCTCGCTCTCTAGTGGCTGTATTTCCCGCAAACAAATGTCTCCCGATCAGAACAGCGATGATGTAAACAGGAACTTGTGGATTTCGAAAGATTTTTCTCGTGCCTCTTCTCTAGTCATTGTATGGAAAAATTCTTTTTTTATTATTTTTTATCATATCTCTTCTCTACTCTTTCCATGAAAACAACAGTGGATTTCAAAGATTTTTTTCTTTTTTCTCACTAAATTTCTAATTTTCTTATCTACAGGTTCCTCTTTTTTCTCGCCTTTCCATCATAACTGCTCCGATTGTGAAAATAATGAATTTTGAAGTTTCAGTGGCGAGGTGGTTGTATTTAAAGTTTTGGGTGATATGTATATATGTAAAATTCCTTATATTTATAAAATTTATATGTATAAGAAAATTAAGTTGCATAATGATATGTGTCAGAAAATTCGCAGCAGTAAAGCAATGAATTATTGTCTTAGTATTGTACGAAAGTTTAGCACACACACATAGATGAAAGAGAAACATGAGGTGATGACTCGAGAAGTTTTTTTATAAAAAGCCCGTAAATAGAAAAATCACGGGGTCTGACCCATTTGCGAAAATTCACTATTGATTGATAATTACAGAAACCCCTTATCCTAGAAGCCTCTTATCCCTCAGATGGGAAAGTATAACTATATCTTTTCAAATTATAATGTTGGCTAACAACGTCTGGTTGGTGGTGATCGATAACGATTGACGGAGCTCGACGACAGAGGTCGGCGGTGGTCGACGATGATCGGTTGTGATGTTGAACTGCAGCTTCTCATCAAGGTCTCAGACTCTCTTTCTCCAGACTTCCGCCCCCTCTCATGACTATGAGAGGGATGAAGCTTTATTTATAGTGTTTTGGATGCAATTAATGCAGGAATATAAATCATTTTGATCGGATGATCCGAAGAGCTTCCCTCGATTACATGGCGTTTAATTGACATTTGAGTATCTTAATGATGTAAGAATTGAATGATCTTGGGCTCGTTGGATTCGACTTGTCGAGACACTCGATTCGAGTATAAACTTATCATATTTGACAATCGTTTGACCTTCCAAATATATATGTAAATCATCTAAGTGTGGTTTAATGATTTGATATGGGTTTCATTTGACTCGGATTAGGCTAGTTTTCATATTTTTAGGTCCGTCTCTTCAAGCCGGTCAGTTTGACCATAAGTTTACTGAAATCGGAGTTCTAGATGACTTTTTATTAAGATTTGCATGTTTCCTGCTTAAAATATCGTCTCGAGATTCTTACCGGATGATGAAAATTTGCTGGTGGCGTATCACATAATTTGTCCTTATTTTTATATTTTAAAATATATAAAAGTTGAAGTAATAAAACTTGAATGTGTTCAAAATACAATAATTTTAAGAATATTTTTATTTATTTTGGATAAAAAAATTTTCAAAATTAATTATTAATAAATTTCGAACTCATCTCACATATCAATCATAATTTCTTTCAACTATATCGCATGTCGCACTTATTAACGAAACTCGTTGTCCATAGCACCAAATTGTAGCTGCAATTCGCTATCAAACCCTATCCTGAATTTATTTATATTTAAAATCAAACGCAAAAAATAATTTCATGTGCGTATTTTTAAAATGAAGTATGTTGTATTATTAAATATTTAATTCTGACATTTTTTTTTTCTTAAAATATTTACTGAATTTTAAATTGTTAATTAAAAAGGATCCATTTGCTCGCAGGCCAATAAGAGGTGCTTCTTTTTGTCAAACGAGCAAGCAAGTTTAATACTATCTTGAATAAAAAACAAGAACGAGCGAAGTGAGGACGACCAACCAGATCTGGTATACTTATAATATTTTGAAATGGGAGAAAAATATAATCCTCAAAATTTGATCTTTAGAGTTGTTGCTATTGACAACTATTTTTTATACAGCATGCGTGCGGAGTGCCTTCTTGAGTTCACATGCAGTTTGAAAATCCCCTCTGACTAACTTTTTCGGAGGCTCGCGCTTGTGGAGGTCCAGGGTTACCATGCTTTTGGAGGTCCCTTAAGATGTAGCTAAACAAGTGTGATGTATCCCCTTGGGAGCACTCTAGACCTCATAACGAACAAATACACTTGAATCTCTAGTTATGGGTAGTTTACGTAGGTATTCTTTCACTGATATTTGTTTAAGGTGCTTTTAACCGATCTTATTTGCACGAACATAATTGGTTTATCCTTGCGTGGTCTAGTGTCGTCCATATGACGGTGGTCCAGTAGCAGCGACAGTGGCAACGACTAAACAACACCAGTCATGTAATAGTGACCCGACAGTAGAGGTGGCTCAATGAAAGTGCTCAAGCAGCAATGGTCATATGGAAGTGGTTGTCAAATAATGGTGGTCCTTAAAAAACGACAGTGGTTCAATAGTGGCCCTGCAGCGATAATAGTGGTTCCACGGTGGCGACTGATGTGTGTGAAATATGTAATGTTATTTCTTGTGTTTTCTTCTTTATTTGTATCATATTTGTGTTTGTTTAGGTCGTTTCAGTGTGTATTTGCACGTTTTAGGTCATAAGCTAACAAGATTAGAAAATAAAGCGACAAGAAAGTCAAACCCTCATTCCTAACAACCCATTTTAAGCGCCCATGCGCCTAAGTCAGGTGCCCCGATGCGAAAGGAGACCCCAGTGCCAAAGAAAACCTTCATGCATGTAGAGTACTGAACAATGGGAAAGTTTGTGCTTGGGCTAAGCACCTAGGCGCCCCATTTACGTGGTGACCCAACAACCATCCAAGTGCCATAGAGCTAACCTAAGTGCTGAGGAGAAGAGATTTAAGCAGAGTTATCGTCATTCCAAGTGTGAGACTAAGGGAGAAGATAGAGAGCACATAAGAGAAACCCAAAGGGCTGGTGAAGGGTGCCACCGAAAAAACATTTGGGAGCATTGTGATCTTGAGCGAGCGTTCCCCTAGGTGAGATCAAGTGTATTGAATACTCAGAGTTGGTGTAATTGTAGTTGATTCATTGTAAGCACCTGAATTTCAGTAGAACATCTTAATTAGACAGTTTTAAACAGTTATTACTTTGATTTTGAAACGAATTTTTTTTTTATTCATCTTTAATGAGTAGGAACTAAATACCTTACTCCCTTAAATTGGTAATCTATGCAAGTAAACTATAATATGAAATTTCAAGGCTTTTTATGACATTGAAAGAGGCTTATGAGTAATATTGTTCATGATTGTCAACAATATTTGAATCATGTGGATAGGGCTAGATTGCTAGGTCCAATTCAATGGAGGTCTTTTCACTTAAGAAAAGCCACGTGCTTAGTTCATAAGATTCAGCACTTTGCAAAATAATTTCGATCACTTTAAAAAATTCACAAAATTGTGATACTTCAGATTAAATGTAGGACTAATAAACTAGAACATACTTAAATCTATATACTATTTGAGTAACATGTATGTTTGTGTGGTTTTTACGTGCTTCATAGCATATCG